CATAATTGTTTTTGTTTCTGAATGTTAAATAGGCTGTTTGAAATGTGTAGTATAAGGGCTGATTTGAACAAAATTTTATGTTATAATATCCTGTTATGGCTAGGCTTCAAGTTTAGTTGACATATTAACTTTTCCAGTCCTGTTTCCAAGCAGAAAGGGACAGTGGAGTTTTACCTGTAATATCAATTAATGTTCTTACTCTTACCACTTTGTGAGAGTAACGAGAGTAAGGAAGTGTAATTAAAGATTTGTCTCATCTGAAGTGTGTTCTGTTCTTAGAAGTTACCATTCTTCTCGCAATCGCAATTACAGGGTGGGTGTTCTACGCCAAACTTTTTTCTGATTATATACTTTACCGCAGGGTGTGGGTGTGTGTTGCTTACTTACACAGGACCATAAGGCGCTGTGGTGAGAGTAGGTCGGCACGCCCGCCTGCATGCGGTTCAGTGTAATCAGAAAAAAGTCCGGCTTAGTATACAGCCACCCTCCCTGATAATGGTCAGTACGCTAGGGCCACTTATCCCGATCAATTTTTCTAAAGTGAGCTACTTGTCACGACAACCAGGAAGCCAATATAGCACTTCAGTTACAACTAAAAGGCCATAAGGGGGGCAAGGATACACCAGCGCTAAGCAGAAAGCGTTTTTTTTTTTTATTTTGGTCCATATTGAGCCCACGCCAACCCGTCGTACTTAAAAGTGCATGATGGGTTGCCTACTCACGCTCTACAAGGCGCAACTGCACACGACACCAAGGTTGCGACGGCTACGCATACGGTTAACGGTGAACCCGGCCAATCCCACCGATTGCGGCCATTGGATAAAACGAGGGTGGATCCGTGGATCGGAAAGAGAATAATTTGACATTGACGATTCAACCAAGGGTTACATGCGCAACTGATACACAGGGGATGGGCAAGTTTTGACACATGTGGACGAAGAAACAAAGCGTGCTTTACATTTCACCTTGAAGCCATGCCATATCAGCATATCCAAAACCTTGGTATCAACTTTCCACGAGTTTGAAGAGACAGCGTGCTCTTTTTGTCACAATACTGTCAGTTCTACGCCTTATTGTAATGCGTCTCCGGGTCAGACGGCCACCGCTCTAGCGAATCCTAGGTCTTGGGTTTTTGGTTTGTTTTCTGCCGGGCGACCGCCGCCCGGGGTGACGGTATCGGTATAAATGGTAGCGCCGGCCTCAGTTTGGCACACTCAGGTCAGCTGACGATCCAGCACAACTAAACAGCCATGAGATTCCTGGTGAGTCCACCAGGCGCATCACTTGTGTCCGGGCAACTACTCTAAGAGTTTCTCGTCCACCGGCTCACACCCTTCATCGCCGACCTGGTTATTCACCGGTAGCTCATACGATCCGTCCTCGTCAATTTGCAGATCCTCGCCGCCTTCGTGGCCCTGGCCGCCGCCGAAACCGTCCACTACCACGATGACACCTTCCACTTCGCCACCCTCGGCGGCTCGAGCGGGCTGAAGCGGACCTCCTTCCAGACCGCCCAGCAGCCTCTGCTCACCAAGAACACGGTCACCACCAAGACGTACCAGAGCGGCGGTCCCCTGATCTCCGCTTTCGCACCCCAGCCTCAGGTCGTCGTGAGCCAGCCTGCCTTCGAGCAGCGTTTCATCGTGCAGCAACAGCAGCAGCAGCCCATCATCAGCAAGCAGGTCGTCACCAAGACTTACCAGAGCGCTCCCCTCATCTCCTCCGCGGTCCTCGCCCCCGCCCCCGTGGCTCAGCAGCAGCTGATCCAGATCGCCCGCCCTACCATCTCTTACGAGCAGGCCCCCGCACCCGCCCTGCGCCAGCAGACCTACGCCCCCGAGTACCAGGGCCCCAAGTGGCGCATCCTGTCCCAGGTCCAGGAGGTCGACCCCTCCGGCCCTTACAAGTACAGCTACAACACTGAGAACGGAATCCAGGTCCAGGAAGAGGGCTCCCTCATCCCCGGTGCCGACGGCCCCGTCGTGGCCGCCCAGGGCTCCTTCGCCTACACCGGCGACGACGGCAAGGCGTACTCCGTCAGCTACATCGCCGACGAGAACGGCTTCAGGGCCGTGGGCGACCACTTGCCCACCCCTCCCCCAATCCCCGCCGAGATCCTCAGGTCTCTGGAGGAGAACGCGGCCAGCGGCGAGCAGTACGACGACGAGGGCAGACTTCTTCAGAAGTAGATCCGACAACTGTGATTCCATTAAGGGCGACATTCGTCTGTGCATCCGATATTTTTCTCCGAATCGGAGAACACACTGCCAAAGTATTAAATAAACTAAAAGCGTCATTTTAAAAAGCTGTATCCATATTTATTTTTCTACCAGCAATAATAGTTATTTTTCTTTGTAAAGTATATCCACAATTATGAACGTTCTCCGAGGTGAAGGGAAACGTTTCCCTTCCTTTCTTGACGGAGGGAGCCCGCTCTCGACAGGGAGCACAGGGTGGGCCGCCACCTTCACACAGCTGCTTGGCGGGTTGGCCTACCCATCGTGTCACAGGCGCTCTCTGTAGCGTTGCGTGGAGAACAATAACATAGTTGCTCCGCACCAAAGCTTAAGACATTCTTTGCACCATAGTCACAATGTGCTCACGCCCTAGCTAGATTTCCAGCCTGCCTAGCCAGAAATTTAGAGTTGACTCAACGTTGAATCTACTCTAATTTGGAGTTACGTTGAATTTTGCACCATATAATGGTTAGATTTACGTTGATTCCACGTCAACTTAAATAAGGGTCGACACGTTTCAGGCTGCGTTTGTGGGATGGCGAAATTAGAAAAAGAAAATCACATGTACGTCATAGCCGCTATGGGGGTGCCAAACACCACTCGTCGTCTTGGGAAGCTTTTGGTGTGGAGCCACCTGTATGAACACTTTTTTGTGGTGCGGTCAGAGTATGCCGATACATTCAATTACACAATTTTCGCTTCCTTTGAAATCGCCTATTTTACTGAACAATCTAAATGGCTATTTCTTTCTTTTAAGGGCAAAACAATGTTTTTGTCTCCTACCCCTTCTTATCGAGGCTCAAAAGTTCCTCTTATAGCAGGATTTTTCATGGAAGGACCGTTATTAACCCGTTTTCCCATTCACTAATTTGAATAAGGTCTACATTATTTGTCTAACCGTGGTAATAGAGAATTCGGGAATACACACAGGAACCGCGCCGCCACGTGAGTTCGCATGTCTCGTACGTTAGCTGACATGTCTACTAATGTCTAGTGCTAGAAATACCCGACAAACCCGGCGTGCACTTTTTTTACACTACCGTTCTTCTCATAGGAGTGCGGACGGGTGTCTGACCTCATGGACGTTGGCGCCCGTGACCCCCGGGTGGATAGGCAACCCACCTGCCCGCATACATGCCCTACAATACCAAAAAACTGTCCGGTGTAACACGTTCACTTTTTCTTCCAAGAAGTTTACCGCGAGGGGCCACGAAACATTTTTTATACTGGGCACTAACGAGCGCTCGCAGGGCACACCTGCGAGGTCAACGCAGAATCTTTCAAATATCTTGTGACTGTCTTTTAACAGATGCAGATCGCGACAAGTATACTCCGCAAGGCGTTTCTGAAGTTTCCCTTTACTTGGTGTTAAAGAGGTCGTAGAGCTTGCTCTACAAGATACACCCCCCCCCTTTTTCTCCTTTGCCTCAGAGTACTGAGGTGGCTGGAGGGGGATAGGGAATTCAGTACACTTTTTCGGTACAAAACGAAGCCCCCAACTAATTCAAGATAACTTTTTCGCCACGAACCGCTCTATAAATTCAAATAGAACTTAATGTTACTATTGCATAACATTCAAACCTAACAGTCTGGCGACAGGCAGATCAAGTTTTATCCCGGTTTCACTAGCTGTTTTCCTTAAAAACAACTCATTACAAACTAGGCATTTTCCGGTTGGATAAATGTTAACACAGCCTGGGTCGCGGAGATATCGACAGGGTAAAACCACTAGCAAAAGGTGACCACATTGTGGTCACGTTGCACTGAATGCATTAACCTTGGTGCCATATCAGCATATTCTCTTTCTACCCGTTTGAAGAAACACGGTGCTCTTTTTGTCACAATACCGTCAGTTCTACGCCTTATTGTAATGCGTCTCCGGGTCAGACGGCCACCGCTCTAGCGAATCCTAGGTCTTGGGTTTTTGGTTTGTTTTCTGCCGG